TTAAATATATATCCAAATTTTTAAACTAGGAACGAAGTACTTAGCTACTGGGCTGTAGAGACCCTCGGGGACTAACAGTCAACCAGCAGAGGCCTCGATCCAGGGGTCATAATGTAAATCATATACGGTACCAATTTTCATGAACCAGGTGCGCATTTCGACAAATTATGTTTCTTCAGTGATGCTCTTGCCGAAAGACAAAGAAAATAAAAAAGATTTAAGATATCACTTTTTAAATTGTTGCTCCCTTCAATAGAATTATTGCGCGCATTAATTGAATTAATGATATCATAAAATCAAATAACGAGAGCAGTAATTAAATTATTGCTCGCAATTAATGAAAGGATGAGCGCAATTATTCACTTGAAAATTAGTAATAATTGAAATTTTCCTTCCCTCAATAGAATCATTGTGAGCATTCATTCCATTCCATTGTTGATATCATTAATTACTTTGAAAAAAGCAACAATTCAAAATTGCGTGTATCGATTCAGCAGATTTATAAATTATCATTGAATTAATAAACACAATACTAATAATTCAAAATAAGATAATTGTTTAAATAATAATTTGAAGACATATCTTATTTTATTTAATTGCTGCGCGCATTAGATAAATTTATGATATCCCAAAATAATGAAAAATATCTAAAAATTGTTATTTGGCGCTCCATTATCTTGTCTATAATTTAACAGGGATTATAATTTTTGCTAAGTGAAGGAAATAGTAGCAATTCTCTTATGCTCATCTGATCATTTTTAGGATTCTTACGGTAACATGTAAAAATATATAAATATGAAATTGATTTCTGGTAACACCGATCCTTGAAGTTATATATTTTTCTTTATCACAAAAATTAATACCAACTTATAAATTATATAAGAATTATTTTGATCATATTGTACGGAAGCCCATCTGTGCCAACCTGCATATATAAAGGAAAAGCAATATATAAGAGCAATCTTCAATATATACCTTGACCTTGGCTGGTCCTTTCGTTCCATTAACCCTATGAGTTTAGCAATTAGGCCTTCAACTTTCGCTGATGAGTCTCGTTTTGAGTCGTGAAGGGTTCGAATGCATGCTTCATCTGCAGCTGGATCAACACGGTCATCTTGAAATCTGACACGGCGGGTATTGTAATTAGCTCTTGAACAAAACAGTGCCTTGCAATTGTTCACAGCCGCTTTGACATATTTCAAGGCTTTGTAAATGCTCTTTGGATTCTTTTCCATAGCAAGGTGAACAGCCTCCTTGTCCTTCCATCCCCCAAGGAAACCTTCTACTGCCATTTGATCAACAGTGCTGTCATTAGCTTCTGGAAGTCCATCCATGGTTAGAAAATGGACTCTTTGAGAGAACTCCTCAAAAGTATCATCCTCCTTCTGTCGTACAAATTGTAATTGACGTCTTGCAGATATGGGTGCCTCCTTCGTATTGAATCGCCTTGACATCTTCTTCAAGAAATCTTGATAGCTGCAATGTGTCAGATCACGTGCGAAATCTAACGACGCCTTGTTCTGCAGACAGTCAAGTAGCCTTCCCTTTGCTTTTCGCTCACTCCAGCTATATTGTTTCACTTGTCATTGGAAGTAAAAGATAAAAGAGTCCCAGGTTTTGTCGCCAGGAAAGGTAGGAATCTTAGGTCTTGATGGGCTTTTTCGGGATTTACCATGACGGGTTCTCCTTTTGGACAAGTGAAGACAGTCATCAGACTCACATGGATGAGCCATAGCTACTTTCCCCTCTATATCTAGTAGCCTGTGTACGTCTCTGTTTTGGATGCCTCAGGTCGGCACTGGAAAACCTATTTCCAAGAGTAGAACTCTGACGGCCAAAATCCAGTTGCATGTTTGCACCAACTATCCTACAGGGGGTAGAAGAGTGAAATAATGGTACTTTAGAAGAAGGAAATGCAGTGAATGACTTCAATGGTCCTAACTCAAATGGTGAATGAGACCTACTACCAGTCATCATGTGGCCTTTTTCCATGGTGTATTTACCAGGCTCTACCCTCAAAGAGGTAAGACACGGTGTCATTGGTTCTTGCTTAATTCCTGCCCTGTCCAAAGGCGTCTGAAGATTACCCAGTGGCAAGCTCGGTATATGTACAGGTGTTTTTCCATCTAGCTCTTTTTGAAGTTTCCTTTAGGGCCAAACCTTTACTATGAAATTCCTCTGCTTGCATTTGCATTCTGCCTTGCTGCATATTCAATTTGTGGTGCAGATCCTCCTCTTAATAATAGCAGGCTTCTTACGTCTGGTTTGTAGTTTTAAGTTCGCGATTAAGATCTTCATTTCCCGCAGCCTTAATTGGTCGTCCATTATCATCATCTTATTTAATGAGGTCCTCATTGATCCACTGCTCCCATACCTCTTCCTTGATTTTTGAGGCGTAAGCCAGCAGTTGAATAGAAATAGGGAAATTCAGCATATCTCGTAATTGGATGATAGCTTGATCCACCTTTTCTCCAATGTTTTTACACACCTTTTTACGCTCCTCCTCAGTAGCAGTTTGAATATTTACACACATGTTCAATGTTTGTGTTATTTATTGAAAAACAGCAGTACAAAATTGTATTTTAATACCAGACCATAGAAAGAAAGAAAGAAAGAAAGAAAGAAAGTAGAAAGATTTAGCAATTTAATTATGGTCAATAATCATACACAAATTGCTACATAGAAATTGGAAAGTTCAACAATTTTTGCTGTTTAATAAAATCAGAAATTAACACAGGTGTTAGTCATGCAAATGGCAATATGAATAAATCTTTTATTTTACTCCTTCCTAAAAAAAATTAGCAAAGTGTAGCGCGCGCCCACCCTAAAGAAGCTGGGGAAGGGGGTGTTTTTATTACTCTTTTTTTCAGCTCTACTGGTCAGAGACCAAAAGAGCTTATGCGATAGTAAGGTGTCCTTCGTCCGTCCGTCTGGCTGTCTGTCCGTCTGTCTGTAAACAATTTTTCAAAACGCTATTCCTCCTACAGTTTTGGTCTGATTTCAATATAACTTGGCACAAAAGTAGACTACACAAAGATACACAACTTAGTGCATCGGTTTTTGATTTTGTTGAACGTTGTTGCCATAGTTACTAAAAATAGAAACTTCTGTGAAATTCCTTTAAAACGCTACTCCTCCTACAGTTTTGATTTGATTTCAATATAACTTGGCACACAAGTAGACTACACAAAGATACATAAGTTAGTGCATTGGTTTTTGATTTTATTAACGGGGTTGCCATGGTAACTAAAAATAGAAATTTCTGTGAAATTTCTTTAAAACGCTACTCCTCCTACAGTTTTGGTTTGATTTCAATATAACTTGGCACACAAGTAGACTACACTAAGATACATAAGTTAGTGCATTGGTTTTTGATTTGATGAACGGTGTTGCCATGGTTATTAAAAATAGAAATTTCTGAAAAAATTACTTTAAAACGCTACTCCTCCTACAGTTTTGGTTTGATTTCAATATAACTTGGCACACAAGTAGGCTACACCAAGATACATAACCTTGTGCATTGGTTTTTTTATTTGATGAACGGTGTTGCCATGGTTACTAAAAGTAGAAATTTCTGTGAAATCCATTTAAAACACTACTCCTCCTACAGTTTTGGTTTGATTTCAATATAACTTGGCACAAGTAGACTACACTAAGATACATAACTTAGTGCATCGGTTTTCGATTTTGATGAACGGTGTTGCCATGGGTACTTAAAATAGAAATTTCTTTGAAATTCCTTTAAAACACTATTCCTCCTATAGTTTTCTTTTTCTGATTTCAATATAACTTGGCACACAGGTAGACTACACTGAGATACATAATTCTGTTTATCGGTTTTTGATTTTAGTGAAGTGTTGCCATGGTTACTAAAAATACAAATTTCTGTGAAATACATTCAAAATGCTACTCCTTAGTTTTGCTTTAATTTCAATGTTACTTGGCATGCAAATAGACTAAACTGAGATACATTATTGTCTTTATCAGGTTTTTTTTTTTTTTTTTTTTTTTTTTTTGATGAATGATGTTGCCATGGTTACTAAAATCAAAATTTCTGTAAAAATCTTTTGAAAGGTTACTCTTCCTACAGTTTTAGTCTAATTGCAATGAATCTTGCTACAAAAAGAGACTAAACCAAGGATCATTACTCTATTTATTGCTGTTGCAAAGTTTCAAGTCCAAGTGCTAACAGTACAAGTACAAACCAGTCGAGCTACAGTCTCATCAGTTTGGTTTTTAAAGCTACAATTTTATTATTTACAATGTTAACAGGACTTAAAAACAGAAAAGCTATAAACCACAGGCGTACCTGGATGACAAGAATATGATTGCCTACATGGAATAACAAGTATGTCACTAAGCCTATGTAGAACTTTGCTACCCTTACATACTGAGGAAATTCGAACGAACAATAAATTTTACGAATTAACCCTTATCTTCTCAAAACTTATTCTATTTATGAATTAGCCTATCCAAAGTATAATTGACTTTGCTTTTTTTTCTAAAAGCACATGGCCGGATGTTTTGCGCCGTTTTTTCCTCGTCGCCAATGTTGTAATGACATTTATTACACAAAACAATACAGTTAACAAATACACAAATATACAGAGATATCGAGCGCACACAGCAGGAAGTTATTATGTATGGGAGGCGCACACAGCAGCCCCTGACCGCACAAAGCAGGTCGAAATAGTTGACAGCAGTTACTCGTAAGTTCTTCCACAGAATGGCGTCTTTTAATACCACACAAAAAGGCATGACGTCATACGCACACATACACATAAGAGGTTCAACACAGGGATACATTACACGGGCTCAGCACAGGATACATATAACGAATTGTACTACAAAATCATTAAAAAGTTAATAAAGTATATAAAGAGTATATATTGTTTACCTATTGACGTTATATTTGTATTAATAATGTATGTATAAATAATGCACGTATAAATACTGTACCTATAGAATACTGTACGTATAAATACTGTGCGGATGTTTTCCTATTTACGTTTGATCATCATCATCGTCCCTGTCACTGATGTCCCGGATGTAACTGTAGGATTCCAGGGATACGTCCATTGTACTGAAGACCAGGGACCGTTAAGGAAGGCGTGGTGACAATAGTTAAACCACCATCCTCCCTTAAAATCACTGGCACAGCTATAAAAATAGTTATCATTATCCCTGTCCGGTGTACTAAAGTAGATCCCTGACAGATCGTAAATAGATTGCCTTGTGTTTAACATACTGTCTCCTGTAAAATTGACAAGAAAGTAAATTTTAAAAAAAATATTACACACTAATTGTCAACACGGAATTGACGACAATGACGCACAGGAACGTGGGATGTATTACAGCATTCCTGATTTATTTATTGATTGGTTGTTGTTTTACTTCACATCCAAGAAATTTTCACTCATATACAGATGTCACCATATACCGGTGAAGGGCTTCAAGTTTAGATCTTAACTCGGCACTCAGTGCCGTTGAGCACTGAGGATTCTTTATCGTGCCAACGCCTACTGTGTCACGGAACCACGGATTTTAATGTCTCATCCGAAAGACCCGTGACTTTTACTTCTAGTCTCGGGCGTTTTGCAAATGACAAAGCCTTCCTCTAGGCTACCGTGACCGGTTACAGCATTGCTGACTATAAGAAGTACAGTGTAATAAAATGATCTGAAGTAAATGTGTCACATGTACAAGGAGAAACGAACATTGATAAACAAATATAACAATAGTATGATACCATGTTTATAATTGTATTTATAAATTGTAATCTTTAATAAATAATTAAAGGTGCGTCCTGTACAGTACATGTACAAAATGTAATAAAAATGTTCTATTAAAGACGCAAAGAACAAGGTTGCTTAATTTGTGAGAGACTTTTTAATGGGGAATAAAAAAAATAGTTATTAAATATTTAGTATTTTAAATATACATAATGCAATGCGATAGAATAATAAAGGAACCAGACTCCTAAGTGCTTGTAAATGCGCAACTAAACATCCCATTTTCTTTATCATATAGGAGATTCATGTTTGAATTTTTAAATAAAGGCATTTTTTTCAAGGAGTAAAGGTTAAAAGTAACTTACATATATATATATATATATATATATATATATATATATATATATATATATATATATATATATATATATATATGCTGGTCTATATTGGGGGCATAGACGCAAGCCAAGGAAAGCCTTATAACAAGGATTCCTTTAAAAGGAATGATCGGCAAAGGATCACTAAGTGAGCATCATGGAATGTCTTGAAATATTCTTTAAATTTACTTTAATTGTTATATTTTTTTCTATGAGTATTAATATTCATATAATTATTTTTAATTTCACATGGTATGCATCTTCGAGTAGTCCGCATGAACAATTTGGACTAGTTATTAAGTTACAATGATATCAGTCAGAGTTTAAAATACAATGGTGTCTCAATCTTGTACGAATTATGTTCAAAAACCTTTTTTCCATATGAAAAATATTTCTGATGTTTTACAATATTGTTGTGCAGACACTTCTTAAAAATGTAAATAGAAGTTGCCTCCCTTACTTTAAGACTAAGGAATTCCACTTTCTGACAGTATCAGGAATAAATAATTTGTTTGCGGTGTGACGTCACTATGTAAACAGGGCGGTCTTTGTGGGGCTCCGATAATGTTTGTCTTTTTTGAGTGATTTAACATGAGATCTTCAGGAATGAGTGAATATTGAGATTATGTAAGTTAAATGTAACAAATCCGTCTTGGAAAAAAAGTTATCTGTGACAGCAATTTCCCAAACTTTATGTCTATGATTGACGGTATGTCGCCATTGTGAACACCTACTCACTATTCACAAGCAAGACTTTGTTAGTACCTCAGAGCATTTAAAATACTGTGTGCCTTTATATCGTGCCCTTCACTATGGCCACTGATACTACTGATCTGAACCCAAACAAGAGAGCCAGACAGGACAGTAGCGTTTTACTCTCTGGTGATCTAAACAAACTCAATGATTTATTAGACTCCGTTTCCTCGGATGAAAACGCCTTCAAACAGGCAATCACTCTCATACTCAATAAAGAGAACTTTAAAAATGCTCTAGCTTGAGTTATTGTTTCAGAGATAGCCTCACTCCGAAAAGAAATAAATGAACTCACGCTGAAAATTGACGAAATGGAACAATATTCAAGGCGAAATTGCCTAAAATTACTGGCACACCTGAAGAACATAATGAATCTACTGATAAGCTAGTTCTTAATGTTATCAATAACCCGGTACTAAATGAAAGCAATGAGAAAATCTAGAACAAAGATATTTCAAGGTCACATAGAGTGGGCAAATACGATCCTAGCCGAAAAACCAGAGACATTATCGTAAAATTTATTAGCTAAAGAGATAGAGCCAGAGTTTATGGATACAAGAGAAATTTGAAATCCTACAACCAAAATCCGACAAAACAAGCCGGTCCAATATATATATTAATGAAGCTCTGACGTCTAGACGGGCTGAATTATATGGGAAAACTCGCCAACTTGAAAAAGACAAAAAAAATAGACAGCTGCTGGACGTACGATGGGTGCCAAACTCTTTGGTACACGGGGGAGAAAATAGTAATCAGCACATCAGAGGACCTAGAGAGCTTTAAGGATGACAACAAAGACGAACAAATCCTTGCTTCGACATCAATATCATAAACAAGATTGTTTACACTTTGTTTATAAACATTTCTACGTGTTCGTGTCTCTTAGACGCTTGGAACCTCGTCCAATCAGCGTTTAACTACTTTCGTTTTCATTTATAAGCATTTGATTGTCAGATCAGCATTACGGATGTCCCAAACATATGTACAGTATGTTCAAATTTATTTTTATATTGTCATGTTTGTCACAATGTTTTCAATCTAATCTACAGGTGTATATGTATAGTTGGATGTTATGTCGTTCTGTCGCGTATTATTTACATCCCAACACATGTATGTATTTGTAAATACTACAAGTCATGTATGTACAGCGGTAGTTTATTACCCGCTTCCTGTGGTATTTTCACAATACATTTCCAATTTGCTACGTGGGAATTGTGTAAGATAATGCAATTCTTTTTTTTTTTTTCAAATTTTATGCTTATTGTTTTGTGTTTATTTTCTATCTATTTTGAAATAACTCATCTCATATATTGCCAAATAATTACAATATCTCTAAATTCCATTGTAAGGCGGCCCAATTGCAAATCGAACTTTGGATTTTGTTTAACCACAATGTTAGATAATGGGTAACTCCTTTGAACAACACCGTGTCATGATTGGGGTTTTTTACATTCAATGCCATAACATACTACCAAGGTCTGCTTTCAAAGTTTCAAAATCTGTCATGCTGTTAGATATTTTGCTACTCATATCCAGTATCTTAAAAAAACAGTACAAAATCATGGCATCTTGGTCTCTCAGAATTAATTTTTTGGCACAATTATTCATGTTTGTCATTCTTTTGCTCTTTGGTGATATTGAAACAAACCCATGCCCACCTGCTGAAAACTCTCTTGATATCTCACATCTTAATATTAGAAACATTAGAAGTAAGATTGATTCTCTATTTAGTTCAAGATTTTGATATCCTATGTTTTAGTGAGACTCACTTGGACTCCCATGTTGTTCATTGAAGGTTTTAAGAATATTTTTAGAAAAGATCGTAATTCTTATGGTGGAGGAGTAATGATTTTTGTCTCAAATCTAATTAAGGCTAGTCGTAGAGAAGATTTAGAACCCATTGATACGGAACTTATTTGGATAGAAATAACACAAGGAAAGGGAAATCTAATTGTGTGCTGTATTTATCGTCCACCACATACTAGTAGTGTCTTTTGGCAAAAACAATCTTGGTCTATTGAAAAAGCCAGTGATTCCTCTAGCAATATTGTAATACTTGGTGACCTAAACATTGATTTCTTAAAAATAAATAACTCACATGAGGTTCATGCAATTAGGAATAGCAGTAGATTAACAAATATCATACATGTAAGAACTACTTGCAATACAGAAACCCTCATAGATCCAATCATTATTAGTGACAATATACATGTACATGATTCTGGAACTTTAAAAGTTAGCAATACACTTAGTGATCATCCAGCAACTTATATCTATATTTATCATAATACTAATGTTAATGCGGCATATAAACGAAAAATTTGGAACTATAAGCATGCAGATTTAGAACTCCTTGATAATTTAATCCTACAATGTGACTGGAATAGCCTTATTGATGACACACACAAAAAAACATTAATACTGCTACAATAAATTTCACAGAAAAGTTTCAGTCTTTTATTCACCAATGCTTCCTTGAAAAAACTGTAACTATAAAGCTAAATGATAAACCGTGGATGGATTCTCTTCTAAAGAAAACTTTGCGTATTCGCAATAGGCTAGAAAAAAGAGCGCAAAAAAACAAAAAAAAAAGAATCTGATCTGATAAATTTTCGGAAGATAAGGAACAAGTTTAAGAACATTATGACAATATAGATTCTCATCTTAAGGATGCTAGTCTGGATAATCAAAAACTATACTGGAAATTACTGAAAGACTGTTTTCACATTAAACAAACAAATGAAATTCCACCTAATTAGTTTACAGCCGACAATGGCACTGAAAGTTTTGCATTTTCAGACATAGATAAGATTGAACTATTAAACAAATATTTTACATCCATCACATTTTTAGATGATAATGACCAGGAGCCACCAAATATAGTGTCTAGATGAAATATATGGAGATAACGAAGAGTATTCAGGCTCAAAAGTCCATTATACAATACAAAATAGGAGCAGAGCAAACACAGACCTCCAAACATCAGAGGTGGGATCAGGTGCCATGGAGGAGTGAGCATCCTCTGCCGACCGGTCACACCCGCCGTGTGCTCCTTGTCATGATTGGGAAATAACGGAGAAATCCGTCGACAATTCAGTGTGTAAATAATGGCTTAACAATTAATATGAAAAACGTCAGTCAGCATTTGACTCAATGATAAATTGTATTTGCTGACAAAGACATTGTATCGACCATAGAACTTACGAAATGATGACTTTAAACGAGACAGCTGACATTCTTGTTTCATCAACTTATTTGTCAATAATTTACCTCGTTTTAGAAATTGTACATACGTAGAGCATGCTCTTGCGTATCGAATCAACTGAGAGATATATACCCCGTATGCAGGTGATGAAGGTATATTGCTGCATAAGTAAGGGAAGTTGACGATTGAAAAGTTAAAGTCATCACGTTTATCATAAAGCTTGGTTGTTAGATTACCATTAACGTCTTTTTCAAGTAAAATATCCAAATATGAAACAGATATGTCAGACGCTGTGGTATCTTTTATCTCAAGTTCACCAGGATATATCGTATCGACATAAGAATGAAAATAGCCATTGATAATTGACAATACGTCGTCGATATATCTAAATGTCGAGTTGAAGGCCACAGCAAGTGTTTTCTTCTTTTCACGTACAAGATTTTGGACAAATTCTGCTTAATATGAATACAAAAAAAGGTCTGCTAATAACGGGGCGCAATTGGTACCCATAGGAATTCCAATAGATTGTTGGAAGACCTGGTCTCCAAAAATCTCCAAAAACCACATAGATATTGTCAATCAGAAACTCAAGCATCTTTTTAATGTCAACTTCAGAGTACTTGTGTGTACAATCAGAATGTTTTTTAACAAAATAATTTTGCAAATGACCAATGACAAGGTAAGTATATTTACGAGTTCCATTTTTATTGAAAAAGCAGCTGTCAATGATATCAAAAAGCCTGGACTTTAATTTATCGTGCAGAATGGTTGTGTATAAAGCTGAAAAGTTTTTAAGCTGTTGATTTTGGTAAAATCTTGTGATTTGATAATTTCCCAGATATAAAAATACAAGAACATGAAATTACTTACATAATTTCTATTATAGTCGTTAATAAAGCAGTTAGGCCTGATTGCATCAGTCATAAAATGTTAAAATCTTGTAAAGACACTATCTCAAAACCATTGTGTATATTATTCAACAGATCATTATCATTAAAAACTTTTCCAAACTGCTGGAAATTAGCTCATGTTCTTCTTCTATTTAAGAAAGATGACCCTTCCATCACTTCAAATTACAGACTAGCTTCTTTGTTGAGTTGTATAAGCAAAATATTTGAAAGAATTTTTTTAAACATGTATACACATAATATATTTTGTAAATATCAAGCAGGTTTTTACAAGGCCATTCCACAGTATACCAACTTTTAGAAACATATCATTCTATAGTAAAAAGTATCAATTTGATGCATGTAAATTTTACTGTATGGGTTTTTTTTTATTTTATTTTTTCCAAGGCATTTGAAAGAGTCTGGCATAAAGGCGTAATTTACAAACTAAAAATGTACGGAATCAATGATGATATGCTGGATTGGTTTGATAGTTATTTAAGCAATAGAACACAACAAGTCACATATAGAAATCTTTTTTCCTCTGTGGGACATGTAAAAGCTGGTGTTCCCCCAGGGATCAGTACTCGGTCCCTTGTTATTTTTATTGTATGTCAATGATGTTGCTGAAACTATGATATCTGTTTGTAGATTATACGCTGATGATAATACGTTACAACAATGTTCAGATATCAATCATATTGCGCAAAATCTTAATCATGATCTTAGAAGACTAGATGAATGGTCAAAGAAATGGTTATTGAAATTTAACCCACAGAAAACCAAAGCTGTATTTTTTTATTTAAAACATAGGCAGCAGTTTCCTAAATTATTTTTTGACAATTGCCAGTTAGAATATGTTACAGAACACAAACACCTTGAGATACTACTGTCTTTCAACTTAGGATGGTCTGAATATATTGATATCATTATAAAGAAAGCTTACAAAAAACGGGGGCTACTTAAAAAACTAAAATTTACTGTGTCAAGAGATATTCTATCCCAGATGTATATATCATTTATTAGGCCACATCTAGAATATGCTGTTGAAGTTTGGTCTGGATGCACTAAGGCAGACATTGAAAATCTTGAAAAAGTTCAGTTAGTTTCTGCATGAATAGTTACTTGGCGTACAATTATTGCTTCAAGAAATTCATTATATTTGGAATCATCATAATGGTAAAATTCAAAATAATTCCAAACTAAAAACGATAATTGCCTGACGCCACGATCTTCAGGCAGTATAAGGATCAATTTTTCCATGGTCTGAAACTAAGTGATTATATTTAGTGAGCTAGTTTTTGTGCAAGCTGATTTACATCGGAATTTATTACCTGCATTATAAGAAATACAGTTTGTAGAAGAAAGCATCATATTACTTAAGCAAAATAATGATGTCTTTATTTCCTTACTTTGTCTGCAAGCACCTGTTTATTCTTCGCGATTTTTTTTATTCGGACATGCCCGTGTAATATTTTTTCTGCGTTTCTAAACTTCTGGATAAGTTCATCTGTCTTCTACGAAAGGGGTGACACAATAATTTCGCGCCAAATGTCACAAGTAAATTATCTTCACGCCTTTTTCTTGGATTGTTCTTTTGAATGGGTATGAAAACTTTTACGGAAATATAATTTGTTTTTTTAACCTGATTCTTTAGCTTCAGATTGTTTATTAAGTGCAAATTTTATGTCATTTTTTTAAATAACACATTGTATTTGGGCAGGCAATACTTAAGCAATGGATTTCTAACTTATTCTTACTATTTTTTCCCCGGTTATCCCATGATTGAACTAGTCCAATTATAAACAAAATCCCTCCACCTGGTAAATTTGACATTCCTTCTTGATTTAGTCTGTTTTTCCCTTTACTTTCAGTATTACAAAATGATGTACGCTACAGGGTAAGCTTTTTCAAAAACCTTCGAAAGTTAGCCAGTGACATATTATTCAATGCTTTGCGATGAACAAGGGTTTCCTTTTAATATAGCGACAGGAGTGTAGACCAGTACCCGTTGAGGAATGGGCTTCACTCCCGTATGGTTCTAAGTAAAGAATCGACAAAATGAAGAAAACATCATGATCTGTTCTGGTTTTCATTTCATTAAAAAAACATACGTTTTTATAGAAGAAATGAATGGCCCAGAAATCAATTGAAAAGGAAAACTGTAAATGATTTTGATACTGTACATAAAGATGTATTTTAAACTCATTCATAATACATGGCAAGAACATCATCGCAGGTGAGTTTTGTCCGGAGGGGGGAGGGGGATTCTCCGTATCTTGGTTTGCTCTAGCTAGCTTTAAAGTGTACATTTATTTTGTGTCCTAAAGCAGCATTGAAGCATTTTTGTCTCAAATACTCCAAGACAATTTTCCTAGTTAAAACTGTTCACAATTTACTTCGTCGTTGAGAACGACGGAGAATAGACCAGTCTATAAAAAGAGGCCGTCCCATCAATCTATTACTGACCAAAGAGTGTGCATGAAGAAGCGCGTTTTCTGGTAAAAGAGAAGTATGAATTTCTTAATATGGCACGTCCAATTATTTTTTCCAGAATTCCTATCTACGCTAGAGCACTTGTAGTTTTATCCCAACGTAACTAGTCAGCCCATGGGCTAACTAATAAATGACCAATCCGTTGCATGTTTTAGATATTTGTTAATATTTAATATTTGACTATATGACATTTGAAAAAATCAAATGTACATCTTCTGTAATGAAAAATCGCAACTATGGCGCTCCTTGATGACGGAAACGTTTAGCACTTCTCTTGCTTATACGTTCCATAGATATTGATTGATTTAGTCAAGCAAGCTTTTTGAAATATATTACTGGTATGCTAGAGGTTCACTGTGCTATAAATGTAAAAGGATACGTGTTCGACGCACTTTCTTTTTTTGATTTGACTTGCTTTCTGAAACACAAATAAACGATTAAACTTCGTCTTAAGAAAAGTATACATCCGAATGAACTTCTTACGCATGTAGAGGATATTCACCATGTCACTGAATAAACGTCTGCATCTCAACTTAAATGTATTTAAATAATGTTTGTTAGTAATTAACATGCTTTGAAACTTTTAATTGAAGCTGTCAGTGCATAGTAAACAAATAAGTGTAGGGATTAATGTGTGCGCAGATAGTTAAATTATCCGGATGCCTCATATGGTATCAATCAAGCCGATCTCAAAAATACAAGATCCAGAGTGCGTCAGATGTCTGTTAACGTCAATATGTTAAGCATTGCCATAATCTAGTCTAGATGTTTCAGGCGAATAACTGCACCTACCTAAGGTTCCCGTAGCAGGTCCGGCCAGAGAGAGTCTGTACTTATCTGCTTCATCGGAAACAGAGAATTGGTCGTACAACTCGTACAGTGTTGTACCATTGTGTACAGTGATGGAAACATAGAGAAATGAGTTCTTTCCCTTTGTTAACTGATGGATTACGTCATTCCCTGTATTAAAAGTTTGTGTTAGAAAAAAAATACCCAAAACTGTCCACAAGTATTTTTCAGCTAAAACAAAGATATTTCGCATAAATAAGATTCTAGGCATAAGTATTCCAAATATATAAAATATTTTGTTGATATCTGAAGGGTTGGGATCCTACGGTACACAACTAATTTTTCGCTATCAGACCTCATATGAATTAAAGTCAATTTTAGATCATATTTTTATAAAGCATTATTACAATAGTTGCAAAATACATAATCAATATATTTCCAATACTTAAGAAGTACTAAACAAGTCAGTAAATTATTGTCATTTTGGAAGACTGAGTATTGTCAGCTCACTAAGTAATTTATTTTTCCCCTTTTATATTCAGATTTATTTATCTAAGCCTTCAATAACATGTAGTGAATTAAAATTGACGAATACATATTATATTTTCTTAAAATCAGATCATTAAATTGCTGCCCAATTTCAAAGTTTGCTAGAAAAGCATATGTCAGAGTTCCTAGAAGCTTTAGACTTACCGATCCAGACGTTCTGTGCCGGGTCACCAAAACCATTCTTATAATCTGTCCATATTCTGTTAAAGCTCAAGGATCCGTCTAGTCGTTTTTGAATTGCCTTGAAAAGATATCTATGTACACTTATTCAATCATTACTGAGTAAACCATTTGTATGATTGGTATGTAATAAAGAAAGATTGAACACGTTTCTTGTATCATACCTATTCCTAGAACAAAAAACTCACTGTAATTCTTATTTACATGATTTACATTATAATTTACATGATTTACATTATAATTTACACGATTTACATTATAATTTACATGATTTACATTCTTATTTACATGATAAACACTGATTTACTTGATATACACTAATTTACTTGATATACAGTAATTTATAAAATGTACCGTCCATCCTCCGTTCATTGTGTCCATATCACAGTAAACTTGGACAGGAATGGAGCTGTTCCCAAAGGGATAAATTTCGTACACCCCTGTATTAGTGTTACCCTTTTCACGGAGGTCCTTACAATCTAAAGGAAGAACTGTAACAGAATAAAGAATTATTGGAATTATATAGCAGGAAGAAACCCAGATGCAAGATAAATTGAAATTCATTGCTGAGGCTGGGATTTTGAACTACAGTTTGGTTTTAAAACCTTTGCTTCCATTGTTATAAATTCAATCTTTAAAATATTTTTGAAAAGGGGTATTCTACACTGTAAATGCAGTTATTTGCAATGCTTATTTTCTTTTATATACCTCACGCGTATTGTTTATGCTTCATTACCGATGAAATATGGAGATAACGAACAGTAATCAAGCTCAAATGTCCATTGAAACAATACAAATGGGGAGCAATGACAATGACAATGAATCTCATAAACTGACATTAAGTACAGTGTAGAGACATATTACAAATATAGTTAAACATATGTGCATGCGTGAAACAGACAAAGTACAAAGTCAAAAAGCTAACAATGACCTAGCCAGGAGAGCCGACTCTCTCACAGATAATTTTTATAAATTTACACAGTTTTATCAATTTATTTTTTTGTATTAAAAAGTTGATCAAACTTATACACATTTGGATATAAATAGTAATACTTTGATATTAGTGATAATCTTGATTTCAAAATAGATGGATCATTACAATTAAATAAGTAATGGTATTCATCACCAATTTCATTTTGGAACATAACTTACAAATTCTATTTTCTCTTGGTACATTTTGCCATCTCCCAACTTCAATCGGTAATTTATTATTACAAGTTCTAAACCTACGTAATAATTTCCAGTACTTACAAGGCAAAGATACTAAATACTTTTCTTAACAAAATGAAGTTTTATATATTCTGTAATTAAAACCTTTAGATGAATTAAACATTTCACTGTACCATGACTGTTTAAACTGATCATACAGAGTGTTAAAAACTACTTTCTTTAGCCAAGATATACTCACTGGTTGGCAAGTTTGCCAGATATAAGAAAGCCCACATTCATTCAGTATAGATTTGATAAAGTTACACCATGGATTATTGTAGTTCTTTAAAACACTTAACAGATTTGATGATAATTTATCCCCTTGTAAAAAAGATAATTTGCACCAAAAACTTATCATTCTTACCTTAATATTAATTGAAATAGGATATCAACCTAATTCACATAGGGTATCTACCTAATTCACCGTATACCATAAATTTTGGTGTAGATAATTTTACATGTAAAATATGTTTACAAAATTTTAAATGCAATTTTTCAACTAATTGTGACTGATTATAACCCCATACTTCACATCCATATAAAAATACAGACTTTACAATTTTGTCAAACATATCTTATGTACATTCTACAGTAAGGTTGTGTTTTCTACATTTTCCTATAACATCATACACAGCTTTAGTCGTTGAAATAACTCCTTAATATTTGTAGTAAATGAACCATTTTTACAAAAACTTATACCTAAATATTTAAAATTATCTATAATTTCTAATATTTTACCATTTAATGTAAATGGTTTTTCAATTCTTGGATTGCCTTTTCCAAATATTACAACCTTAGTTTTATTAGTGTTAACTTTCAGATGCCATCGTTTACAATAATTGTTGAAAATATTCAATTGGTGTTGAAGGTCTTCTGGTGTTCCTGACAAAAGAATTGTGTCATCAGCATATAACAAAACAATCTAAGATACAAATCAAACTCTTTTTCTAATTTAGCAGATATAAATGATAAACATTTTACATTATTTGAGTACACGAAGTCTTCAAGATCATTTAGATATATTGCAAACAGAAATGGGGATAGATTTTCCCCTTGTCTGACACCTACAGGACAAGGAAAAGGTTCAGAATATAGACCATTGGAGACAACTCTAGATTTAATGCTTTTCTACATCTGTGTAATAACATTGAAGCATTTACCATCTATATTATTTAATGTAATAGTAACAGAGCAAATACCGACCTAAAAAAACAAAAAAAAAACAAAAAACAAAAAAAAAACACATGAGGTGGGATGAGGTGCCAAGGAAGAGTGATCATCCCCTGTCCACCGGCCACACCCGCCGTGTGCTCAATGTCAGGATCGGGCAAACGAAAAAATCCATAGACAATGCAGTGTTTAAATAACAATAAGCATGAAAAACATAACATAATATTTGACTTAATGATTTGGTAAATATTTGGTAAAAATGGTGTAATGCCAATGAACTTCTTAAGAAATAAACAATAACAGTATTATCAGTTTTTCAACATTTGTTTAAAGAGCGAAGCTTATTTAAATGTATGTTATACGATATAACATAACTTGGGGCAGTTTGCGCTTTATAAACCGCGAAACAAATTGTTTTGTTTTCTACCTCACAGTGGCTATTTCAAGAGTAGAGATATAAAATAATCTATTAAACTATCTTAAATGTTTTTCACCGTCTTCTAAAATTATATTTACATCCAATGGAAAATGCGCATGTTCGCAAAAGCGACACATGAAATTAATTAGAAAGTAAAAGTCGGGCTTTATCATCCGGCTGTTTTGAAGACAAACCAGGTGCGTGAATTTCTTTTATAAAAAGACGCTGGAGAACTTGCAGACGAAACTGATACCAAACAAAATATTACTGATGTAAATATTACAATGATAAAAGACTGCATAAAGTAAGATACTTTTCGAACAAACTTTAAACCTTTCCTAGAACAGGTTGAATATGTGTTACAGCATTAGATCGATTTGGCATTGATTCCTCTTCAAATAAATATACATGTTTCCTTAATAAACCCCCGCGCTAATGAGCGCTTTTTAAAATAACCCTATATAATTTTTCTAGTTCATTAAAGAAAATGACGTCCATGAGGCTGAGGAAATTCGCGAAATCGCCAGCTCACTGAAGCTAATGGAGTTTGTTTACAGTGATCAAGGTGATTAAGTGATTAGGGGGAATAACTCTTAAAAGTTTTCATATGGACTAACCTATAGGACATTTTTAAGTAAATTCCTTATAAAATCCGTCTTTCAACTTAATTTGTCACCTCTTCAATAATTATGTAACTGTATAAGAATTCTATAATAGAGGAATTTAGAAAATTAGAATGATTTATGAATTTTAAAAATAAAAATAATTAAAGATAAATATTATTCAACAAGCTGTCCAAGGAATGCCATGAACTAACCCCCCCCCCCTTCGTTTTTAAACTTTGATGTCAATAGCTCTAAAAGGACTAGAGTTCATTGAATTGTATCCCGTTCTGATAATTGCTACCTGACATCAATAAAAGTGGCTTTATTAATTGTGGTCAGAATATGAGAAACCTAAAAAGAACAAATCTAAATCTGAAAGAAACAGAAAGCTAACTGTGTTCTTAGAAACAAACTCTGTTGAGTCACATTTTGTCCGCTGTCACGAAATATCCGCCTTTTTTCGAAAAAAAAAATCGTCACATTATGTCCGCCGCCAGGAAATATTCGCCTTATAAGAACTATCGTTACGTTTTGTCTGCCCTTACAAAATATCCACCCAAATATAGAAAGTAACATATATATATATATATATATATATATATATATATATATATATATATATATATATATATATATATATATATATATATATATATGACTTTGTGCAGTCGTAGGTGCAACATAATACATATCCTACGTATTGTAATTTTGATACAAAAATAACATTAAATTACATTATCTGTAACATTTATGGCTCTTAAAATGTGCTTTTAAGACAATAATTAGGAATAAACGCTGAAATGGATTTCACGTCGTCACTGTCTTCGGTTCTTTTAGCAATGCAGGAGGGTGAAGAATGACGCATCACTCGCTTGAGTATTCAAGACGTCCATGGACATTTAAAAAAAACACTGTTAATAGAACATCAGAAGACACATACCAGCAATCTAAAAATTATTTTTCTTTTTTACCAAAATAATTATCTGTGCCGATATATACAAAATATATGCCGCAATATGGCAAATTTAGAGGTTTCGGGCATTGGGAAAAAAAAAAAATTCGTAGACCAAACCAGATGGTCAACTTTTTTGAAATTTCACAATTTGGTGACTTTTTACAATATCTTTCATGTATTTGCCTAAAAAAGCAAATCCATAGGGCAGAAATACAAAAAATATGGGGGAAATGTGATAATTTGGCGCTTTTCCAACAAATTCCCATAGAGTCCAATAGTAAAATTTGACAACTTTTGAGATGGCCCCCTAAGAAATCGGGATGGTAAGCATTTAATTTTTTTTATCTTAAGATAATAAATATTATATTAAAAAATCATTCAAGAAAAATTATCAAAATATCTAGGGTAGAAATAATTAGACTCGGCCTCGTTAAATTAACATAACTGCTTTTAATTAGTGAAAAAAAATTAATATAGAAAGCATAGAGAAATTCACTTTTATAAAGATACCCACTTCAGCCCCAACCAGGGATATACAGTGTATATACAGTCGACCTTCAGATATCCGGACACTTCAGCTTCCGGACGACTTTTTCTGGGAACGGTATTTTTTAACGTTATTTTTTCTCGTTTTTCCGGAATTCCGCGTTCCGTATCCAGACGGGTGGTTTTTTTAACCACAAAATGCATTTTTATATTATATTTCACTTCATTTATCCGGACTGTAATTTTTAATTGGTCACTCAAATTTCGGGAGCTGGATATTAATGGTTGTAAAAACACTGACCTGGCTGTTTGTTTTAAAGACGATCATCTGCGACCTATAATCAATGATTCGCTGCAAGGTTATAATAATTATAGGTCGATATATATATAGCGATACTCTACCATTTCATAAAAATAAGTTTTGTGTTTGTGTAAACAATCCATTTTATTTATTTTATTTGACTGACATTGGGCTACTAATGATTTCATTCAATTATTATTTTTGAACGATTAATGGAGATTTGCTGAAATCGTTAAATTATATATCTGAGAATATATTCTTCTGCAAAGCTGCAACAGTTCATCTAAACAAAAAAAAATATTATTAAAAGAAATGCAGAATTTGACCAAGTTATGACGCATTCTAATTTGCTCCACATATAGTATCCAATGCAGTAAAGCTCAAAATGAAGCTCCGAAAACCGAAAAATATTTTAAAGCAGAACTGTACTCGCTTTCTGAAAACGGCAGCGATGGGTAAAGACACCTACTGACACACATGGAACTCATGTCAAATCCTCTAAAATCTTTTTGAATTGACCAAATGACAATCAAATTAATTACATTTTTTAACAATGATTTCCTGTTTCCATTTATGTTTTTTTATATATATATAATCTAATGAATATAAAAATTACAAGGAACTTTAGCTATTGAAATTTTTAACAGCTTATATAGATTTCAGGTTTAGTGCCGGTAGATACCAAACACGTGTATTTTCTAACACTGTAAAAATGCTGTTCAGAGAGAAATTCGGTAAAATCTAAAAATTGTGTTTAATATGTCGAATTAGTCAAACTTCAAAAATCAAGCTTAGGTTACGTTAATAAAATGATCTTTTTTTAGCTGGATCCCAATCATTTTCTGTAGTTTGAAATTTTGACGTCATTTTGTAACGTCAACGTTGACGCACGATACATGTTTTTCTTGTCATTTGATACATTGTGATATAGGAATTTAGATTATCTGGAAAACAATTTAATGTGACCAATAAAAGTGTATGTTACAAATAAACTTAAATTATTATAATTTAAGATCTAAACTAACAAAGTATTTGCTATTCATTTAAAACCAATTGCCTTGCAAAAAAGTGCTCACAAAACAACACAAACATTACTTTTTGTAGTCTATTTTGAGAAACAACATGTGACTAGAAAACCAAAAATTGATATTTTCTTTTTTTTTTTACGTTCCATATATGCTTCATGACAATATATAATACATGTAGTATAAAAATTGACTTGTGAATGCTACGTATTATTATTTGTGTGAAAGAAGAAAATATATAAATTTAAAAAAGTAAAACATACAATCATTGAAGAAATATCGCCAGCCAGACTCCACAGACATCTGAGTCGTAAAGATTTTCTTGTGGGTCCGGCACTTCTTCATTACAGAATTGTATCCAAAAACTCTACAAACATTTTGACACATCGAGGCACACTCAGTCATCGATTGAGGTTTGTACTCTCCTAAAATTTCGTTATTTGACTTTTTATTATCTAAGTCTATGTTTGCGGCATATTCCCGAGAAAATATGGTAGCTTGTGACACCTCAAGGAAGACACCAATTAAATAGATCCCCAAAAGATTGCTCATATTGTTGTTTGTGTGCAATACAAACGACCGTGTACCTGGAAGAAATTGGAACTTGATATTCAAGCTACCAGATATAAATACTAGAGCTTAAATGTATAACCAAACGTGATTGGCTGGTCGTTATGTATTCTGTATTAGCAATCGCTGAAATATTGATTGTGACAAAAAATGATTGGATTCTAAGCATGAATAATAAAATCTGATATGGAGCTTAATAATAAAATGGTATATTGAATACCTTTCATATAATCAGAAAATACAGGAAAATGTGAATGTACACTTCCTTTATTTCTATCTTGGTATTTTTATGCAAAAAAGTATAATAAATTACAAAACAGAAAATCTAAGATACAACTACCATTCTTATTCACAAATGTGCTTTATATATATATATATATATATATATATATATATATATATATATATATATATATATATATATATATATATATAATCTACTTATTAAAAAGATAACTAAAATTCACAAAATTATCGAAGAGCATTCCATTAATTTTTTAATTACTTTGATGCTGAACAAAAATGTAAGGAAAGAAAGAACTACGCACGCTAACTCTCGATTCCCGCCTACATTTTACACCCATTTAAATCAATACTAATGTTAATTTGGCCATTAAAACTACTTTGAATACAAAGAAGAGTTCAATGGTAATTGATTAATAGTTTTAATATATGTACCAGTGTCAAATTATTAATTACTCTTAATTACATCTCTTTTTATAACGAGGGTAGACGATGTTTTCCATTGAAATTAGGCTTCAAAACATCCCCAGAATTAAAAATATTCTTGGATATTGATAAATGGCCCTTAAATCTGTTTGTACAATTAACTCCTGTATTGATTGATAAAGTACAATTTTTTTAGCTGTAAACCCCGTTGAAATTTGTGATCTAATACATATTATTTTTGCTGTTTTTTGTCTGTAAACATATGCCCCCCCCCCCTCCCGTGAAACAACAAAAGCTTTGGTATGAATTTCTTAAATAACGTTTCTTAATACATGTAAAAAGGAATTTTTGTTTCATGGGGGGGGGATATGTTTTAAAATATTTTCCGTTTTCCATTGATTTCTATAGTGAAAAACTCACGTTTTTTGGTAAAATTATAGAGTTATCCCTCTTTTTTCCCCCAAATAAGATATGTTTTGTAAAAATGAATATAAATATCTATATACATATGAAAAATTATTCAAATATATTAACTTTTGAAAATTGACTTGGAGGTAGGCGGGAGAACAAAACAATTGTTCGCAGTTCTTCATTCATCTAGTAAATGGTTTCTTTTCTAATTATTACTAGATGAAATCCAGCGCAATCGCGGGGAATCGGAATTCTTGCCACTGCTAACTGATCAATTCGAATAAAATACATGTAACTTATACTTTCTACTGACAGTCAATCAAAGGTTTATGGCAAGAAGAAATACTTTGTACAAAATCCAAAAGTAGGAGAGCCCCCTCCATTTCTTTTTTTTACTTTAAAAATATTAACTTCATTTATTGACGTTTTCACCTGAAGTGTTAGCATCTTTATATTTTGATACACTGTACCCGTTGTACTGTTATTACATATTACATATATTAAACAAGTTTCCATTTCCATCATAGATTTTAAAAATTTGAACATTTTACTAAATGTGTCAGCAAATTTTAAAGGTAAAATTTAAGTTTCAAGCTCCTTGTGTATAGCCCTCATATTTTTTTTTTTTATTTTATCAGATTCAGTAAATTAAGAAAACCATGAATACATCGCGCTTTTACTTCATATATATATATATATATATATATATATATATATATATAATTTAATTCTGGTTGTAACGATGTATTTGATTGGATAAAAAATTTACTTTACATCGTATAAAATGGGCTGCCTACGTCACAATGACTTGCGTCAAAAACGTATCGATCCGCCTAATGTTACATTCAAATTTTGTACAAATTGAAGTCATTATTTATGGACAATTATCTTTTTTTCTTACACCAAATGAATGAAAATTAAATTATAAGAAATGAAATTAATAGCTACCCAATATATACGGTATAAACTGGGTTGGAACAGTTTACGCTTTTTTTATAAACCGCTTCGCGTAAACTGCTCCAACCCAGTTTATACCGTATAAAATGGGTAGGTATTAAATTCATTCCTTAATTACAATGACATTTTCTTTTCAGGAAGTTAATTAATGCACATTCAAATTGTGCTTTGATTGTGAAAACTACACTATGTTCTCATGCACTATTTATAAAATTGTGAGTTAATAAAATAAAAAATTTTTAAAAATCATAAATGAACAATTATCAAATGAAACATTATATATGACGCTGTTCACGTAAAGTGCAAAAAAAATATATGTATACAATGTTCTCAAGGAAGTGGGACCGTGAAAAAAAATATCACCAGTTATGAAAGTCATTTTTGTCAAACATTACTTTGTTTGTTCAAAATGTACTTCAGTCACTTCATAAAACCTTTAAATATTCAAAATGTTTTTTGGCTCTAAAAATAATAATAACAATTATAATAATCTGTATATTTGCTTACACAGAATAGGAACTATATTACACATACAAAGTCGTTAAACAGTTCATTGTGTTATGGCTTTATAGCGAGTTCCAAAGTGCAATTGGATGTTTATCTATTTGTTTTAAAACTGATAACTGTTCTAAAACTTATAATTATCGAATAAATGAAGAAAATATTTAAACACATATAAAAATCAAAATCGGACCATCTTTAAAATAACTTTGTTTGATGTACCAACATTTTTCCAGGTGGGTATATATAAATATTATAATTTTCATAAAAGTAACAGAAATTTATTATTATTAACTTAATGATGAAACAATCTTAACTTCCCAGGAACCCCTCTCCCTAAAAAAAAATTAAGAATATATTTAAAAAAAAAACAGTAGTAAAAATGATTAAAAACAAGACTATTCAAACAGGAATTTTGAGAAAAATTGCATTAGCAAAACTAGTCCCCTAAAGGCAAGTGTAATCTGGTTCCCATTAAAAATTGAAAATGCCATAATTCCGTCGAAAATCATTGAAGCGAAACAAAACGCAAGCTTTGATCTATAACTCATCAAGATACACTCACATACCAAAAATCAGCTCAATATCTGCAAGCATTTAGAAAAAAAACGTGCGAAAAAGCAAGTGGGACTAACTGACAGACAGTCAGAGAGACAGCTAGACATACGATCAGACAGACAGATAGACAGACGCCGAGGAAACTAAAAGTTCTCTCCGTTTTCACCGGTAGGGGACTAAAAATAATTGGATAGGTACGATTTTGACCGGTTCGGAGTTTATCAAACAAATCATTTTTTTTTCTGTAAAGGTTTTGGTAAATAAAAAACAACTCTTGAATTAATAGAACTGCCCTATGTGAAGAAATATTAATATAGAAAGCACAGAGAAATTCACTTTTATAAAGATACCCACTTCAGCCCCAACCCGTGATATATACAGTGGACCTTCAGATATCCGGACGCTTCAGCTTCCGGACGACTTTTTATGGAAACTGAATTTTTTAACGTTATTTTGTCTCTTTATCCGCTATTCCGCGTTCCCTATCCGGACGGTATTTTTTCACCAAAAATGCATTATTACGTTATATTTCGCTTCATTTAACTGGACGGTAACTTTTAATTGGTCTTTCATTTCTGCTCAAATTTCATGAGCTAGGTGTTAGTTGTTGGAAAAACCTGTAATCAATGTAATCGCCTGCAAGGTTAATTATAGGTCGATATATAGATTCTTTAACGGATCATAAAAATTAAGCATTGTGTTTGTATAAAAAATCCATTTTATTTATTTGTCTGACATTGGGCTAGAAATGATTTCATTCAATTATTATTTTTGAACGATTAATTGAAATGTGTGGAAATCGCTGAATTATATATATGAGATTATATTTTTTCTGCAATGTTGCAATGGTACATTCACGTTTAAGCAAAAAAAAAGTATTAATCGAAATGCAGAATTTCGACCATGTTATGACGCTTCCTCATTTGCTCCACATAAAGTATTCAATGCAGTAAGACTCAAAATGAAGCTCCGCAACCGAAAAAATATTTTAAAGCAGAACTGTACTTGTTTTCTGAACACGGATGGGAAAAGACACCTACTGTCACACAAGAAAGCTATGTCAAATCTTTTGAAATCTGTTTAAATTAACCAAATGACAATCAAATTTATCACATTTTTACAATGATTGCTGTTTTCATTTATGTTTAGTGCCGGTAGGTACCAACACTGTAAAAATGCTGTTCAGAGAGAAATTCGATAAAATCTAAATATTGTGTTTAATATGTTGAATTAATCAAACACAAAAAATCAAGCTTATATTACATAAATATAATGATTTATTTTTAGCCTAATCCCAATCATTCTCTGTAGTATGAAATTTTGACGTCATTTTTGTAACGTCAACGTTGACGCATGATACATTTTTTTTTTTCTTGTCATGTGATACATTGTGGTATAGGAAGTTAGATAATCTATAAAACAATTTACTGTGGTCACTAAAAGTGTATGTTACAAAAAAAATTAAATTATTTTGATTTATGATCTAAACTAACAAAGTATTAAAACAATTACCTTGCAAAAACGTGGTTGAAAACAACACGAGCATTAATTTTTGTAGTCTATTTTTTAGCAACAACGTGTGACTACGTAGAAAACCAAAAATTGATATTTTCTTTTTTTACTTTCCATATGATTGTTGACAATATATAATACATGTAGTAATTATCAAGCATATAAAATTGATTTGTGGATGCTACAGCATGTAAAATATTAGAAAGCTATTGCAAAATTCACATGGCCGTAGGAACCGGATGGGTAA